CAGGGGCCCTCTGCTGCTTTGTGCCGCTCCGAAGGAGCTCGCACCGACAGCTCAGCGCATGTTTGACCCCGCCCTGGCGTCGTTGACCGAACCTCCTCTCTCTCTCTCTCTCTCCCCAATCCGCTCCCTGCCCGTTCCTCGCGTGTCCATCCACCCTCCCGCCTCCGACCGTCTCTCCCTCCTCCTCTCCTCCTCCTCCTCCTCCTCCTCCTCCTCCTCCTCCTCCTCCTCCTCCTCCTCCTCCTCCCTCCCTCCTCCTCTCCTCCTCCTCCTTCCTCTTCTCCCTCCTCCTTCTCCTCCCAGCTCCCAGCTCCCAGCTCCTCCTTCCCGCCTCCTCCCTGCTCTCTGCTCCTCGCTCCCTCCTGCTCGCCCTCCTCTTCCTCCCTCCTCCCCCGCTTCCTCCTCCCCCCCCTTCCTCGTTCTCCTCTCCTCGTTCCTCTGTCCCTGCCACTGCCTCCCCGCTCCGTCCCCCCTCCCCCCCTCGTGCTCCTCCCCCTCCCCCTCCTGCGCGCTCCCCACGTCGACGTCCACCAGAGCGCCCCAGGACGTCCTGCTCCTCCGCCCCACCCCCCTCCGAGGCGCTCCTCACGCGCAGTTCGCAGCTGGTGTGGTCCGGCGGCCCCCGCGTGCAGCGCGGGCAGCCGACCTTGCTGCAGAGCATCCAGGCCAGGGCCCACTTCGATGCGACCGGTCCGATCCGATACGGCCAGACCGAGGCATGAGATCGAGGTCGGCTCGGGGAGGGCACCCTATAGTGCTCTTTTCCTGCTGGTTGGATGTTCTCGTGCATCCTGGGGGGGGTGGCACCCTCGCATGTTCCTCGGCTTGGCCAGCGGAGGGTCTCGTGTTCTCGAAGGATGCTCTTCCGCCTCAGGTCCGACCGTATCCGCTCCAGCCGGCCCGATCGATCTGATTCGATCCCGATTTGTGGGCCATCCGACGCGGCCCGACGCCTGCACGGCGCTGTTGCGCGTCCTGGCGCCGCCGATCCGATTCGAGTCCAGCTCCGTGCCGATGCGGCCCGACCCGACGAGAGTGTCGGTCCGACCCGATTTCCCCCCGACTCGATGCTGACTGATCCTGCCAGGCGCTGGCGGAGGCGGCGGCGGGCGAGCCCGTCCCGCAGGCCCCGCCCGTGAGGGCGGCGCTCCTGTGGCCGCCTGCGCTGCTGGTGCGGTGCAGCGGGGACGGAGCCGCCCGGCGTGCCGTCGCTGGCGCGTACGCCGCGAGCGGCGACGAGCGCGAGGGCAGGCCGGTGTACAGGCGTCACGCTCCCTTCGACGAGACGTAAGAGTGACCTTTTGCCGGAGTGACCTTTGGTGCGGGCCAAATGGGGCCCCCCGATCGCCGAACGCGAGGCGGCAGCGGCGTCTCGCGCTATTGTGTTTGGCCCCCCGGCGGCCCCAAAAAACCGCGCACCAAAGGTCACTCCTACCCAGGGTCACTCTTGTGTGCAGCCGATCCCCCGACTTTTCCCCGGTTGGTGATGTGATCTGTGGTGGTGGCGCCCACCACCAGGTGGGAGGAAGGGGCCCTGGGACCCGGCGCTTTTCGGAGAAAAGTTGGCACATCGTAAAGCGTCACGGCTGGATCCGGCCCCATCTTTCTGCGCCATCTTTCGACCCGGATCCATCTGTGAGGGTCCGGGGGCCCGAATCTAGAGCGAACGCGCCCGGCTCGAAAAAGTGGAGGCGTCAGGATCTCAGTGAGGAAGAGGGCGCCGAAGGACCAGTCGGAGAGGAGGGAGGAGGCAGGACGAGGGCGACGACGAAGGAGGCCCAGGGGGATGCGGCGATCTGCACGCTCCAGAGCCCAACCCGGGAGCGAGCGTGTTATCTCTTGCTCCCCGCCGCCGCGGGCCCGCCGGCGGGGCCGGCCGCGCCACGCGCTCCGGGCGTGACCTGCCCCCCTGAGCGGCCTCGCTCCTCTCCTCGCCCCCCTCTTGCGGCCGTTGCTTCTGCCCCGCCCCCCTCTCTCCTTGCACGGTGGCCCCAGTCGCTACAGCGGCACCGCCGTTGAGCTGGCCTGCCGCCGCCGCACTTGCTCTGCTGAGCCGCCGGCGCCAAAAACCGTGATCTCCCGCTCTAGCTCCCCGTCGCTCGACCGGCCGCCTCGTCCCGGCGGGGGCCCTACCAGGAAGGCCGCGGGGCCGGCCTCGTCCCCGGGCCCTCCCTTCCCTCCGTGCGTGAGGATTGGGTGATTTGCGCGCCTGCTGCCTCCCTTGCCCATCGGTCGTTGATAGGCCTCTCGGGATTCCCACATTCCGATATATTTTAGGCGCCTTCCTACTTCAATGATCGAGTGTGGCTTCACCTTTTCCCTCCTCCCAAGGGGACGCCCAATCTACTTTCAACGCCTTCCTACTTCATGGTTCTACCTGTTTCTTCCGACCGACGGGTACATGTGGTAGCAGTTTCTCAAGCTCCCTCTCCAGAATCGAACCCCGATTCTCCGTTGCCCGTCATTACCACGGTAGGCCAGTGCCCTACCGTCGGAAACTACTAGGCCAGAAACTTGAACAATTTATCGCCAGCGAAGCTATGCTATTCGTTCTGTCGCTATGGATTTCCACAGGACCAGGCCGAACCTGGACTCGTTCTGCAACTCGTAAAGACAACACTTCCTACAAGTTGGTCCTGGCGTTTCAATTTTTCCGAGCTGAGCGTCTTCGCCCAGTTTCTGGCTTCGGGACCATCACAAATCGATCCGGCGTGAAAAATGGCGCAGAAGAGGGGACTTAAGGCTCTGGTCGCGATTTTTCGCGATCATATCTCAGGGCTCGCCAGACTTGGAACCAAGCTGGTGACATTAAGTTGGTGCTTCAGTTTGGTTATGGGGTCTTCCCAGTGTTTGTTGGCTCTGGCCGGGTGTGGCCTCGATTCGGCGGCTTCTGGCCGGCTACATCCTCATCCCGAATTGTTTTCCTGAGCCTCCAGCCGAGAGTGTCCAGGCCAGTGGAAGAGTGTCACCAATAATTAACAGGCGTCGGGCCCAGATGATGCTTTCGAGGATGGAAGGAGCTGTCATCCCTTCCTCGGCGGAATGCTGCGGATGGGGGGCAAAAGGCTGCTGAAATAAGATGGGGCCGCCCTCGTCTTCACGCGTTGTGCCACGCTGGCGGCCCGCGGACGCCACAGCGAAAGATCGCTCGCGCAAGACCAGTTTCACATCGTCGCCCAGGTGCCCCCGGCTTGTCGCTTGAAGCCTCAGCGGGGCCTCTGGGCCTCGTGGGGGGCGCTGAAGAGGCCGTGGGGGCCTCCTTGGAGGTCCTGGGGCACACCTGGGGCCAGGGTCACGTCGATGCAGCACCCGAAGGCGCACGGCGGCCTTCGGACACCCGGCCGCGACGCTCTACTTCGGTGCGGCGCCCGGCGCGGCTGGCGGCTGCGGGCCGCGGGGGTGGTGGCTGGGGCCCGAGGCTCAGAGGAGGAAAAGGTACCGATGCCGCCACGTAGCCGACACCGCCATGCTTACATCGTTTTCACCTTTTTGGGGCCTTCGTGCCGGATTCGCTCAGGAGTTCGGGTCAGAACGCCCCCGCGGAGAGGTCGGCGAAGTAGCTGTATCGATATTGTTTTATTTCCCCCGAGGCCGATTGCGGTGAGCCTTGGGCGCACCACCCCGCCACCCACAGGGCCCAGCGCCGCGCGCCGCCGCGCTGCGGCTGGGGGCTGCTGCGGGGCGGGGGGCCTGGCGAGGTTTTCGTGGACAGCTGCGGACCTCGCAGACCGGAGAGCCCTGACGGCAGCGAGGAGGGGCGCTCGCCGGCGCAGCCCGACGGGGGCTGCGGCTCCGCCGCGCGGAGCCCCAGCGCTTCCTCGCGGGGAACAAACAATAACATATAATCATAAACTTTCGGAGATCCGAGCGGATTTCTCATATTAGCGCTGGGCCCCTTCCCTTGTGCGCGGCGCGCGCCAGGCGCGGCGCCGCAGGCGCCGCCAGGGGCTACAGCGCCGATCCGAGAAATCTGCGCGGAGCTCCGAAAGCTTACGTTTATGTCATGCTTTGTCCCTCGATCCTCCGCAGAGTGTGCGGCCGGGGCGGCGCCCGCGAGCAGCTCGCGGGGCTGCCCCGGGCGCAGCCGCAGCCTCGGCGCGGCTGCGCCTGCCGGCCCGACGCAGGGCCGCCTTGGGCGCAGCCGCAGCCGCAGCCTCGGGGCGGCCACGCCTGGCGACGTGGCGGAGGGCCGCCCTCCCGTCGCGCGCAGCCGCAGCCGCAGCGCAACCACGCCCACCGACCTGGCCAGCGCCTCGCCGGAGCCCAGCGCGCCCCAGGGCGGCAGCCGCGGCGGGCCCGCCGGCGCGGAGCGCCGCAGCCCAGCGAGCGGCGGCCCGCGTGGGCGGCGGGCGAGCGCTGGGCGCCGCAGCCGCAGCCGCGTCGGCCCCAGGTCCTCTTCCGGGCGGCGGGCGGCTGGTCCCTCTCCAGGCCCTTGGTACCACGCGTCCTCGTCAGCGTCCTCCCCTCTCCTCCTCCTCCTCCTCCTCCTCCTCCTCCTCCTCCTCCTGCTTCTCCTCCTCCTCCTGCTTCTCCTCCATCTCCGCCTCCTCCTCCTCCTCCTCCCTCATCCCTCTGTTCTTTTAATTATTATGCCTCCTCCTCCTCCTCCTCCTTCTCCTCTTCTCCTTATTCTCCTACTCTTACTCCTCCTCCTCCTCATCATCATCATCATCAGCAGCATCATCATCACCATCATCAGCATCGTCATCATTATCATCATCATCATCATCATCATCATCATCATCATCATCATCAGCAGCAGCAGCAGCAGCATCATCATCATCATTATCCTCTGCGTCTTCTCCTCGTTTCTGCTCTTTATGTGCGTTTCCATCCTTCTCTTCTTCGCCTTCAGCTCGTCTCGGAATTCCTTGAAGTACCTCAGCCACGGCGTCGCTCAGGCGGTCGGCCACTGCTGTGGCCGCCGCGTGACGGTGGGGCACTCGTGCTCGTCCAGATTTCATCTGCATGTCCTCGAGGTTCCCCAGCTTGGCCCCGTGCAGAGGGGGTTAGGGGGAGGGCAGAAGGCTTCTTCTGAGCACCCCTGCTTCTTCAGAAAGGCGCAGGCCTCGTCTGCAGATGTCAGGCCCGCGCCTCCTAGCGAGCAGCCTCCTCCTAATAAGAAGCCTTCCGCCCCCTCCCCCGCGTATACCTCCCGTGCTCGCCGCCGGCCACAGCGGCGCCAGCACCTCCCGCCCTCGATCTCGGCGCCGCCGCGTGCGCGCCGGGGCCACCGCGAAGCCCCGCCGCGTCCGAGCGCCCGCGAGCGAGCGAGCGAGCGAGCCGAGGTCTTGGCGGCCCGCCGCGGCTCCTCGCGAGGGCAAGTCCGAGCGGAGGCGCCCGCCCGCACATCTCCGAGGCGGGGGTTTTTGTCCATCGACCACCGCCTCGGAGGATCCGTAGCTTCCAGCCACGCGCAGAGGGGGGTGGGGGGAGGGGGGAGGGCTTCTTAGAAGCACCCCTGCTTCTTAGAAGGCGCAGGCCTTATCTATATATGTAAGGCCAGCGCCCTCTAAGAAGCAGGCTGCTTCTAAGAAGCCCTCCCCCCTCCCCCCACCACCTCGTGCGCGCCGCCAAAGCTACGCGGGCCTCCGCAGGCGGCGGACATATGGAAGTGGTCGAGCCTAGCGAGGGCCGAGCGATGTCCAGATCTCTGCCGCCCGCTGGTGCACCAGCCTGGAACGTATCCCTATCCCTAGGATTGGCATCGCCTCATCTCGATGCCGATCTGAGGGGTTCCCTCCGTTTCTGAGGGTGTATCCCTAAGGTTGTCGTCGACTTTGGGCTTGTAAATCTCAGGGATAGGGATACGTTCGAGGCTGGCTATGCTGGTGCACCAGGGCGTCGGTTCTCCCAGGCGGTGGACGTGGACACGGCCCCGCCTCGCGGGCCTGGGTGGAGGCGCCCGCCCGCAGCGTGCCGTGCCCGGCCGCACCGGCAGGGCTCCTCTCGAGTTCTGCGGCTCGACTCGGCTTCGACGCCGATTCGCTTCGACTTCGGCTTCCAGTGTGGATCGTGGCCTCCCAGTGGAGGCCCTACTGGCCCTCGCAGCCTGGGTGGAGGCGCCCGCCCGCACCGCGCCGCGCCCGGCCACACCGGCAGGGCTCCCCTCGAGCTCTGCGGCTGGACTCGGCTTCGATGCTCGGGCCGGACGAAAGGGGGATTGGGAAAGGGGGGGTTACGAAATTTGCTGCATGCAGCTGGTTTCGGCCCCACCGAGGGGCCCATTCCTCGATACATCGTCGCCTCCGGCGCCGGGAGGCGCCGGGAAAATCAGCTACAGGTGAGCTGATTCTCAACCCCACCCTTTGCTATCCCCCCCTCTCGCCCGACCCGAGATGTCGATTCGGTTCCACTTCGGGCTCCAGCGTGGATCGTGGCCTCCCAGTGGAGGCCCGACCGGCCTGCCGACTTTTCCGCCCACCCGGACTTCTCCCGGCTGAGCTGCCGACTCCCGCCGATCCGGTTCCTTTGGATCGCCGGTCCGGCTCGTGGGTTCGATGCCAGGCCCTCCTGCAGCAGCGGGCCTGGCGTTCCCGAGCCCGGCCTCCGTCTCCGCAGTCCTGCTGCTGCCGGAGCTTGCCAGGCCGCCAGGCGACATCTCCCGCGGTCTGCCAGGTGCTCTCCCGACAGCAGGGTGCACGGGGAAGTTTCGGCATATCCGCAGTAGTTCCACTCGGTTCAGCGTCGTCTGACCCGTCCCCACTCCCAACGGGCCAAGGTTGCGGTCGGGACTTCTTAGATAGCGCGTCGCTCCGCCTCTTGTGGCCCACCGCGCTTCGGTGCGACACGCGATCCGCTCCCCAGCACCCCAGCATCAGCGTTCCGAGCGTTTCTCCGCCTCCCGCCCTGCGGAGCGGCGCGACAGGCTGTCCGCTGGCGTCGCCAGGGGCCGCCGCGGCGACCGCACGCTCGCTCGTCTCTGCATCGTCCGACCCGCCCCCCTCCTCGGCGGCGCCGTGGCACCGAGGCGGCCCCGGGCCAGAACTCTGAGCGGGCGCGCTCGAGCCCAGGGCCGCCACTCCGGAGAGGCGGCCCCCGCCCTGCATCCCATGCGGACAAAGGATGCGTGTCGAGCGACAGCTGTGCTCGTCCCCAGCAGGCCAGGGACCGCGCCACTTGGCCTGCCCGCCCTCGAGGTGGGGACCGGCGCCGCGAGACCCGGCGGATGCGGCCTATGTCCCCGCGCAGGGGAGGGGGGGGGGGTCGGGCAGCGGGGCCAGGGAGGAGCACGCAGTGGGCACACCAAGGTTAGATAATCGGCAGGGGCTCACAGGAACTCTGGGGCACCTTGGGCCCTCGACGAGCAGCGGGGAAGGTGCCCCAATCTTGCTCACAACTGGAATTCTTATCGTTTGTGTGTACTGTATTGAGGATGCGAGAGGTGCGCCGACGTGGCGAGGTGGCGGCGGCGTCGGGGACGACGACGCACGCGCACGTCTACGCCTCTGTCGTCTCAGCCGCAGTTTGAGCGCAGGGCCGCTACCCCGACCAGGTCTCAGGTCTGGAGGTCGCCTGCCTGGGGGCGCGCCGAGGCGGCGCCATGCCTGCCTCGAAGGTGGGTGCTGCCACCCGCGCCTTCGTCGACGCGCTCGTGGCCATTGCGCGGGGCATGTGGCGCTGAAGGGCATCCGCGATTCCAGCCCCGGAGAGCTGCTCAGGGCTCACCGCGACCTTTTATTCAAAACGCACTTCGACAAGGGCGGCAGGCAGCGCGACCAGCAAAGGCCCCGAGATGCCAAGGAGTTTTCTTCCCAAGAGACTCGATATGTCGACATGTTCTGGGGTTGGTTTCACAGGGGGCCTCGGCCGATGGACCTGGAGGACTTGCGCAAGAAACGCCGGCCTTTGGGCAAGACGGCTTGCGCCGCCAATGTCGAGGGGATCCTGAAGTCGGCCAAGGCCTAGGCGGCGGCGAAGAACGAGGCCAGTAGGCCTCAGAAGGCTTGCAAGCAGGTGGTGGGCCACGGCTGCCGCCGACACTTCGTTCTCGATTGCTAATTGCCTGCGCTCGCACGCGCACCGGGAAGGGATTGCGGGAGAGGAGGCCAACATTGCAGGGAAAATGTGTGCTCTCGTCTTGCATGGGTTAATCCGGTCAGGGCCTGGGTCACGTCGACGGCGATGGCGATGAAAACGATGTTCACGACGGCGTGTGTGCTGATGCCGGCCGTGGCGATGCTCGCGATGGCGATGACAACGCACCGCGGCCACTAGGGCCGTTGGCGAGGCCCCGTAGGGGGCCACGAGGCGTGTGCGACGGGGGCTGACATTGCGAGGCGGTCGCATGCGGCCGCGACCAGCGGGGCCTTCGGTCCAGCTTCCTATTGGGCCGCGTAGCAAAGAAGGCGCTCCGTCATGGTGAGCTGGCGGCATGCGACCGCAGCCATTGGGGCCTCAGGTGGAGCTCCTTATGGGGCACCGCAGTGCGCCGACGTGGCGAGGTGGCGGCGGCGCCGGGGAGGACGACGCACGCTCGCGTCTACGCCTGTGTCGTCTCAGCCGCGGGCGCAAGGCTGCCGCCCCGACCAGGTCTCAGGTCTGAAGGTCGCCCGCCTGGGGTCGCGTCGAGGCGGCGCCGTGCTTGTCTCGAAGGTGGGTGCTGCCGCCCGCGCCTTCGTCGGCGCGCTCGCGGCCATTGCGCGGAGCTACGATGTGGCGCTGTGAAGGGCATCCGCGACTCCAGCCCCGGCGAGCTGCTCAGGGCGCGCCGCGACCTTCTGTCCAATGCGCACCTCGACAAGGGTGGCGGGCAGCGCGACCAGCAGAGGCTCCAAGATGCCAAGGAGTTTTCCTCCCAAGAGACCCGATCTGTAGACGTGTTCGGTGGCTGGCTTCGCAGGGGGCCTCGGCCGATGGACCTGGAGGGCTTGCGCAAGAAACGCCGGCCTTTGGGCCAGACGGCTTGCGCCGCCAATGTCAAGGGGATCTTGAAGTCGGCCAAGGCCTAGGCGGCGGCGAAGAACGAGGCCAGTAGGTTTCAGAAGGCTTGCAAGCAGGTCGTGGGCCAGGGCTGCGGCCGACACTTCGTTCTCGATTGCTAATTGCCTGCGCTCGCGCGCGCTGGGAATGGATCGCGGGAGAGGAAGCCAACATTGCAGGGAAAATGTGTGCTCTCGTCTTACATGGGTTAATCCGATCAGGGCCCGGGTCACGTCGACGGCGATGGCGGTGAAGGCGACTTTTACCACGGCATGCGTGGCGATGCTCGCGATGGCGATGACAACGCACCGCGGCCACTAGGGCCGTTGGCGAGGCCCCGTAGGAGGCGGCGAAGCTTGTGCGAGAGGGCGGACATTGCGAGGCGGTCGCATGCGGCCACGGCCTTTGGTGGAGCTCCCTATGGGGTCGCGCAGCAAAGAGGGCGCTCCGTCATGGCGAGCTGGCGGCATGCGACCGCAGCCACCAGGGCCTTCGGGAGCTCCTCATGGAGCATCGCAGCGCGCAGGCGGTTCGACGACGCGACGAGGGCGCCGGCGTCGGGAGGGCGACGCGCGCGCGCGACTCCGCCTCCGTAGTCTTCAGCCGCAGTTTGGGCGCAAGGCTGCTACCCCGACCAGGTCTCAGGCATGGAGGTCGCCTGCCTAGTGCGCGTCGAGGCGGCGCCGCGCCTGTCTCGGAGGCGGCCGCTGCCGCCCGCGCCTTCGTCGGGCGCGCTCGCGGCCATTGCGCGGGGCCAAGATTCGGCGCTGCAGGGCGCCCACGACTCCAGCCCCGACGAGCTGCTCAGGGCGCCGCGACCTTTTGTTCAAAACGCACCTCGACGAGGGCGGCGGGCACCGCGACCAGCAGTGGCGCCGAGATGCCAGGAAGTTTTCCTTCGAAAAGCTCCAATATGTAGACGTGCCCTGGGGCTGGCTTCGCAGGGGGCCTCGGCCGATGGGCCCTGGCGACTCGCGCGAGAATTGCGGCCCATGGGCAAGACGGCCTACGCCGCCGAGGTCAAGGGGACCTCGAGGTCGGCCAAGGCCCAGACGGCGGCGGAGAACGCGGCCACTAGGCCCCAGAAGGCTCGCATGCAGGTCGTGGGCCGAAGCAGTGCTGCGGCCGACGATGTATTTTCGATTGCCACTTGCCTGGGCTCGCGCGCGCTGGACTGGCTCGCGGGAAAGAAGGTCAACATCGCTGGCAAAATCGCAGCCCATTCCGTCATGCGTGGGTTAATCCGATCGGCGCCCGGCCGCGTCGACGGCGACGTAAACGAAGACGATGTTCACGACGGCGTTTGTGGCGATGCCGGCCACGGCGACGCTCGCGATGGCGATGGCAATGCACCGCGGCCAGTGGGGCCGTCGGCGAGGCCCAGCAGGGGTCCGCGAAGCGTGCGCGAGGGGGGCCGAAATCGATGAGCAGGCGCACGTGGCCGCGACCAGTGGGGCCTTCGGTGGAGGCCCCCATGGGGCCGCGCAACAAAGAGGGCGCTCTGGCACGGTGGGCCTGCGGCGCGCGACCGCAGCCGAGAGGTGCGCCGACGCGGCGAGGGCGGCGGCGGCGTCGGGGAGGACGACGCGCGCGCGCGTCTACGCCTCCGTCGTCTCAGCCGCAGTTTGGGTGCATTGCCGCTACCCCGACCAGGTCTCAGGTCTGGAGGTCGCCAGCCTTGGGGCGCGTCGAGGCGGCGCCGTGCCTGTCTCCAACGCGGCCGCCTCCGCCCGCGCCCTCGTCGCGCGCGCTCGCGGCCATTGCGCGGAGCTACGATGTGGCGCCGAAGGGCATCAGCGACTCCAGCCCCGACGGGCTGCTCAGAGCGCACCGCAAGCGTTTGCTCGGCGCGCGCCCCGCCTTGGAGGGCGGGGGGCGCGACCAGCAGAGGCTCCGAGATGCCGAGGCGTTCTCCCCCAAGTGGCACCGATCTGTAGACGCGCCCCAGGGCTGGCTTCGCAGGGGGCCTCGGCCGATGGACCCGGGCGACTCGCGCGAGAATTGCGGCCCCTGGGCAAGACGGCCTGCGCCGCCAACGTCAAGGGGGCCCCGCAGTCGGCCAAGGCCCAGACGGCGGCGAAGAACGTGGCCAGTAGGCCCCAGAAGGCTCACAAGCAGGTCGCGGGCCGAAATGGGCCTGCGGCCGACGACTCGTTTTCCGCCTGCACGGGCGCGCGCGCGCCGGGGATGCGTCGCGAGAGACGGGGCCAAAACGTGCACGCATCAGCCTCAAAGAATCAACAATTTGGTACCATCCCACGTACAGATTCCCACCATCACGCGATGCTGGCGCCATTCGGCGGAGTAGTTCCCAGCCCGCCTGATGACTCTTGTCCTGCAACCCAAGACGGGATCAGGAACTAGTCCACACCGCGTCCTACAATGCATCGGGTGGGATGCGCCCGCGCTCGGAGTAGCTGGGGCATTCTCACTCCCCTGCTGCGCCATTGGAGAAGGCAGATTGAATGAACTTTCCGTCGCGGTGAAGCACGGCCGAGGAACTCACTGGCAGCATCTAATTGGAGGGTGCGCGGTCTGCGGCAGAGTCGCAGGGCGCGCGGCATAGGGGTCGGAGGCGGGAGCGCAATGGCGCAGCGCACGGTCGACAGCAGAGCGTGGAAGCGAGAGCGTGGGGGGGGCGCGCACTTCATTGTCATTGGGCGTTTCGGCGGGGCGTTCGGTACGGGGTGCAGGGTTGTGTCCCGCGCCGGGGTTGGGGCGTGGGATCTATTGCCTAGAGCGCGGCTTGAGACTTGGGGCGCGCGGCGTTCCGTGGAAAACATCGGGCGCGGGGCCTCGGCGCGCGCGCGTCGACGGAGCGGCGCGGGGCGCGCGGCGCGCGGCGCAGGGGCTCTATCGTTTTCTGTGTGACGTTGGGGGTGGGGTCCAAATCAGGCGCGGCGCCACTAGCGCGACGCCTCGCGCGTCGGGGCGCGGGCCCCAGACGCGGGCGCCAGGCGCCCGCTCGCGGGCGCGCGGCACCGCCCGCGCGCGCGGGCGCTCGAAGTGCGGGGGGGGGGGGGGGGGGGCGCGAGGGGGGTGCCCAGCCAAGGTATTGGCGCGTTCCCCAGCACCGCATTAAATCCCAGCGAAAGTACCGATGCGCCCCCCTAACCTCACAATTAATACCCAGCGAAGTATCGATACGTTTCCCAACTTCAAGTTGATGCGCCGAGATCACAATTGAGGCAACCCCAGGTCCACAACCCCGAAACGCATAGACCCCCAACTCCCGGCTACATTTTCGATGCGCTCCCCATCCCCAGGATTAATACCCGGCCGAATTACTGATGCGCCCCCGAACCCCAGTATTGACACGGGGCAAAATTATCGATTACCTTCGCAGGCCCAAGGTTACCCGGCGAGAGCACCGATATGTTTCCAATATCCAAAGTGCCATAGTGCCATCCATTTTTATAAACACTTGATGCGCCAGCCACTTACGAGCTCGACCAATGATCGAGCAGCTCCTGACAGTCAGCAAGCGGAGCGCTTCAGATTGTCGCATGGCCCCTCCCTGCGCCGCCCCCCCCCGCCTCCACCCCCGTGTTGCGATTTTTGCAAAGCCCCCCCCATGCCCAGCTGCGCCAGGGCGTAGCGATAGTGGCAAAATTCCCCCTCCTTCGCCCGCGTCGCGATTTTTGCGGAGTTCCCCCGCCCCGCCCCCGCTCCGCCCGCGTCGCGATTTGCGCGGAAAGCCCGCCCCCCCTTCCCTTCCCCCACCTCCCGCGTCGAGATTTGCGCGGCGCCCCTTTCGCCGCCGACGCTAGCGTCGAGATGTGCACGGAAAGCCCCAAATCCCCTGCCCACCGAGGTTCTACTTCTGAAGAGCATCCCCGCGCCGCCAGCGCGTGGATTTTTGTGCAGGGCCCCCGCCTTCCACCCGGCCTTGAGCTTTCTGAAGAAGTCTCCGCGCCGCTCCACCCATTGAGATTCTGGCGAAGTCCGCCCGGATGCCGCCCCCCGCTCGGCGTTGTCGACAATCGCACTTGCCGCCAACCTGCGCCGCCGCGTCGAGATTGCCGCGCCTCCCCCCGCCGTGCCCGCTGGGGAAATTTCGAACGCCACACTGCCCGCCTGCAGCGCCCACCGCATCGATCGAGATATTGGCGACATCCCCTGGTCCACCACCGCCGTCGCCCCGAGAAGTTTTCGTTTTTTCTGTTTTCGCCCCGCCCGAGGTCCCGGCGCCGCGCGCTGCGATTCGCGCGACGTCGGCAGCCGCTGCAGCCGCCACCCCCCGCCACCCCGCGCGCCAACCCGCTCTCTGCCCCGCGCCGGCCGCCAGCTTGGGCCTCTGGGTCCTAGGCTTTGGGCCCTGGGCAGCGCTGTCAGCCAGTTGTCGCCACCCGCGAGTTCGAGCGCCACTTCGGCCACGATGTGCCATCGGGCCGGCGGCCGAATCAGTTGCGACAGAAACGCCGAGCTGTAGAGACCCCACCGCGGCGGCTCCCCCACTGGCTACGGACCTTCGGCCAAGGGCTCAATTCTTAGGCGCAAAACTTCAATCCCTTAAGGCTGAAGGCTCAAGGGCCAGGGCCGAAAGCCAAAACGCTTGCGGGAAGAGGAGGACGCTCACGGCCGCAGCCCTGGACTCCAGGACTCGCGCTCACACCCTTCGCCGGGCCACCTGGATCCAGCATCGCGTCGCGTCTCCATCCGTTCAGTTTTCAGTCCTCCAACGTGTTCCGGTGTCGGGCTGAGGCCCCTCGACCTTTCTTCGGCATTTCTCTTGCGCCCGCCCTCCGGTCATCTTTTCCTTTCCTATCCTCGAGTCCCCTCGTTTGACGTATCTTTATTCCTTTTTCTCCTACGTCCAACGGGTTATTCCATTGGGGGCTGTATTCTTCCCTGGAGCAGGCAGCGCGAAGTAGGAGTGCGCAGGAGTGGATTCTACTCTGGTGATCCCAAGTTCCGACCCCAAAAGTCAATCAACTCATTTGTACGCCCGCGCAGTCAAACGAGCGTAAGAAAGACCATGCTGCCCAGCGCCATAACATCTAGGTATCAGCACGAAACAAGTCTGGCAGCATGGAATATGATACGGTGCATGACGCAGGCGACGGCAGCAGTTTAATCAGCACGTGTGATTCCTTATGGTGGCATTTGCGCAACTCCGAAATCTATACCTTTGGACAACCCCTAAAACGATACATCTGTCAACAGACGAAAAGGTCCTGGTAGTTGAAGACGAGTTCATGTTTACATCTGCTCTTGGGTTTACACTGGTCCTTAGCATCGTCCTCCTCATCGTCCTCCCGCTCTCCCTCGCCCTAACCATTCTCCCCCTCCTCCTCCCGTTCCTCCTCCCATTCCTTCTCCTCCTTTTCCTTCTCCTCCTCCTCCTCCTCCTTTTCCTCTTCTCCTCCTCCTCCTCCTACTCCTCCCGTTCCTCCTCCCATTCCTCCTCCTCATCCTTCTCTCCTCCTCCTCCTCCTCCTCCTCTCCTCTCCTCCTCCTCCTCCTCCTCCTCCTCCTCCTCCTCCTCCTCCTCCTCCTCCTCCTCCCCCTCCTTTTCCTCCTTTTCCTCCTCCTCCTCCTCCTTTTCCTTCTCCTCTGCCTCTGCCTCTGCCTGCGTCAGGGTCCCGAGTTCCCGATCTCCTTCCCCCACACAGGGCACGGTGGCGGCGGCTGCCGCGACGCGGTGCTCCGGCTTCTCGGCCGACCCCGCCGCCTTCCCGACCAGGCCGCGCGGGGGGCGCCTCGGAAGCGCTGGCGCGCGCGCGGTCGAGAGGGGGGGGAGCTGGCCGCTGGGGAGATGGTGCGTGCGAGGGAAGGCGCGGGGCGAGGGGGCGAGGAGGACGAGGGGAAGGTGGAGGAGGAGAAGGAGGAGCCAGAGGAGGGGGAGGAGGAGGAGGAGGAGGAGGAGGAGGAGGAGGAGGAGGAGGAGGAGGAAACGGAGGAGAAGACGGAGGAGGAGGAGGAGGAGGAAACGGAGGAGAAGACGGAGGAGGAGGAGGAGGAGGAGGAAGAGGAGGAGGAGGAGGAGGAGGAGGACGAGGAGGAGGAGGACGAGGAGGAGGAGGAGAAGGTGTTAGAATGTAGCGTTCCGACTGGGTGAGCAGGTTGTTCTTTTAG